AAAATCATTTTCCATTATAGTTTACATGAATATTCTCAGATTTTCCATTATATCATTATTTTAGTGTTGCTGGGATGGGAAATCTTGTAGTGAAAGGCAGAAAATCACGTGGAGAAGTGAGGTAAATCGAAAATTTTTTCAGAAACCTGATTTCAATCCAGGTTTGATAACCGATACTTCGAGCTCGCGGAAGAATTTGAAGAAAACTCATCTGTGGAAGTTTGTGAAATATGAAATTTCTGAAATTTCGTTTATATTCAGGATGATGCGAAAAGAATTACTGAATTTTTCAAAAATCTGAAATTTACTGTTGGTACTCAAACAGATGATATTGCGGATGAATCGAACAATGTGGGACAACTCGTGGAATTGGAGTCTACTCCCGTCTATGGACCGACAATTTTTTTTTCTCCCCGCACTTTAACACCTCATCCTCTGAATCCTTTTCTCACATTACCTGAAACAAACTATCCTCAGTGGGATACTCCTGATGCTACTTTAGATAATTCACTAACTTATATTTCTTCAAGTACCTTAACTGAGCAGAAAGAACAGCCTCTTCCTGCCAGATCATCTTATTATTTCCCCCCACCTCATCAAATCTCTCGCAGATTCAAAAGAAAAAGAAGCATGCGCTCTAGACATCATTCGAAGCATCTAGTTTCGAGCCCGGGAAAACTTGATGTGTAAGTTCCATTTTATTATTCAGAAGTTAGTATCGATAACTTTTTCAGCATTCTGGAACATCCTGATGAAGGCATGACAGCTAGCAATCAAGGCTACATCAGCTCTAATCTTTCTCCATCTTCTACGAAGGAATTAGATAGCTCGACTTCATGTTATGGCTCTTCGAAGGAAGACATTGTTGCGTAAGTTTCTGGCATTTTCGTGTGAACTTCTGCTAAGAAAATCATTTACAGGTCTCACAACAGCATCTCCTTTTCAGAAAGATTAGTTTGAATGATTTTTCATATATTCAACGCTTGTGATAATGCTTTTAACTATCAGCTCTTCTTTTACTTTCTTCTGTTTTTCGTACTAATAAAACTTCAAGCAATCCATCCTGGAAGTCTTCAGGATATCGATATTCAAGTATAAAGGAAAGCGTAAACGTTATTCGTTTTCTGATAGTTCCCATCAACGAAAGGTTATGCTAATCGGTAAGTCTCGAAGACTCCTTAATCATGAACTTTCGAATTTGTTGCCACCTCCCGAGCATGTATGCTCTCTAACGACAGTGACTCAGAGAAAGATGTTTTTTGAAACTATAAGGAAGAAGTGAGTTGACTATGCAAATGTATTACAAACTTTCCAATGACATGACTAACTTATAATAATATATGATTTAATAACAACGCCCCTCACTAGTTCTCTCTGTTAGTCATTTGAAACTACCAGCGTTCAACTTTCTGTTGCTACAGACCAAATTATCCAAATTATCATTTGTGAATTGGACTTTTAACTAATTATTGTAGCTTTCAGTTGTGATAGAATGGGAAATTCATTGACAAAGATTCAAAAAGCTTGGAATCTGCTAGTGTAAGTATGAGAAATCAAATAATCATCTAGTTTCCTTCAGAGGTAACCGAAACTCTGCTGAGGAACCTGAAAACCGGGCTGGAGATCTCAACGAAGTGACGATTGAGGTTCCCACCTAATACCCTTTCTCAATACAGTGTCTTGAAAACAGGAAGGCAGAGGGACTTCTCCAATCGTTTTGTCTTCTTGCGAAACTCAAACTGATTTGTCAATGTATCATCTTCACTATATGGAAAATCTTTTGCGTGACGCAACATTTTCAAAAGAAGATAGTTCAGCTTACCACGGAAAAGTTAAACAACGGTTCGAACCAAAGGCGTGGGTCCTTCAAGCTTTTCGAAGCTATGACGGCTCTCTTGGGCGATATGCAATAAACTATCAAGTTGAAACTATGTATGTGAAAATACCTTTTGAAAACATTTGCAAAATGCGTTTCTATAGATCAACCGAAGGAGAACCATCCAAATCTACGAATGACGAACTTCCTGAGGCTGGCACTATAGAAGATGTGTCGTCTACTTATAGCGTCATGTAAGCTCAATTTTCTGTTTTTGGATGTGTTTTTAACTTTATGCTTTTGTTTCATTTCCAGATCTGCAGATTATGTGGAGTAATTTTGAAAGAAAATGACTTCTGAACACAACTATGTTCTGATGAAGACGTAGTTTCATATGGCTAGAGTATATCATGCACAACTAATATCGCCTATCCAGAACTTTTTTCCGAGTTCTTTTACTTCTTTCCAACTTTGAGCTACAAACTCATTTTTTTAATAAACTATTCTCTTTAAACCATGTTCTTCATGTACCTGAGCTAATGTTGACCAGGCTCGAAAAGCCAAGTTTTAGAAGCCATGGTTGAAGTTGTATTGTGGAAACTATACTGAAGAAGTGAGTTGACTATTCAAATATATAACAAATTGTTTAATAACATAACTAACTTAT